AATAAGTAGGTCTAGCCCTAGCCCTAGAGAAGCTTCAGTTTTAGTTCAAAACCAAAATCATTACTACACAAAAAGACTCAGGAGCATATAACAAGTCTACATGCAAAAGGTAAAATGGTAGGTAACTCAGTTAACTGAAATAATCAGTTAAAGCAAGGAATCATAATGAAAAGATACATTGAACATTTTATTGTAAACTAATGTGTGAAGAACATTTATGTACAATCCCTGAATTTTCAAGGAATATTCTTTGAAATAGGTCCATTCATTGAATGCTTTGGCCAAGAGGTTCCATTTTGGATTTCCTTAAATTTTTTTTAATTTTTAATACATTAAATTTTAAAATTTAAAAATAAATTTAAAAAAAAATCAAAAACTTTCCCCAATATTTGTTTCCTCGCCCATACTGAGTTCTATTATAATTAGTTTTAGGAAGTCACTCCTACCTAGTCTTTTCCAAACAGCAACATGATTTTTATAGAAGCAATTCTCTCTCCGAGAGAATAAAGGGCATCCCAGTTCATAAGGGACATCCGTCAGTGAGCCCCCCAGGAGGACTGGAGGGCAGTTCATACAAAGTGTTAAGTAGGAAAGCCTGTTACTTCTCTTACACAACATGAGTGTTCCTCAGATCAAATCCAGATGGCATCTCCTCAGCCATTACCCTTCTGAGGTGAAGTGGTGGAACAACTAAATCAAATGCACAGCTTCCAGTTTTTTTTGTGGTGGCATTAGAGCGCCAATGGCACAAAGCATCACCCCAACACCCCTACCTGAGAGGACAGACTCTGGGGAATAGTGTAGGCATCGAGGGACCAGTGAGTACTTTTCACCCTAAAAACCTGACAGAATCAATTGACATGTACAGGATCCGGAAGTACATTTTAAAAGTAAAAACACATGAAGCTATAGGCAGTAAGATTCCTTTGAATTAATATAAAAATCTTACACACTAGTCTGGTGAAAGTGCTGATATCATAAGCCACTCTGGACTGAAAGACATGAGCTTTGAGTTCTGGCCCGATTTTGCGACTGGACAAAGCTGTGCGGTTTGTACACATTACTAAGCTCCCCTGAGCTTCCTCTTCCTAATCTGTCAAATGAAGTGAATTAGCGCTAGATGATTACTAAGACTCCAAAACTTGACTATTCTCTAAGGAGGACCAATGAGCATATAAAAAAAGAAAAGTAATAAGCATTATTTTTTAGATTTTCCAGCAGCTAATCAAATCAGCCTAGAAGAGAATGGAAAAATCACCTAGTACAATCACATCTCACTTTATTTTACAATTCAACAAATATCCATTGAGTGTCTACTCTGTGATGCTGGGGACATTTCACAAGAAAAGGAAATTATCTGCCTTCACAGACCTTATTAAATTTAATAAGCAATTACAATAAAATATGTTAAGTGCTAGCATGGAAAAAGTAGAATGTTCTTACAGGAAGAGTATGTACATAAAGCTCTATAGAAGGCTTTTCTCAATACAGTTATGTATAACATGAGACCTGAAAGGATATGGAGCAGTTACACAGGAAGGGAGTCAGGAGGGAAATGGTCCAGGAAGAGGGAGCACCATGTGAAAAGGTACAGAGCTGGGAAAGATCTGGCTAACCTGGCATCTGTGGCTGAACTGTCCAGAACAAGGGATGAAATGAGAAGTGAAAAGAGGAAAGAGGCCCTGGATGGTGTGGCTCAGTTGGTTGGGTGTTGTCCTGGAAACCAAAGGGTAGCAGGTTTGATTTCTGGTCAGGGCACATGCCTTGGTTGTGGGTTCAGGCCCCAGCTGGGGTGCATAGGAGAGGCAACTGATCAATGTTTCTCACTCTGATGTTTCTCTCCCTCTCTCCCTCCCTTTCCTTCTCTCTGAAGTCAAAAGACATGTCCTCGGGTGAGAATTTAAGAGAGAGAGAGAGAGAGAGGCAGAGGCAGACAGAAGTAAACAGCAGCTATATCATGCAATGCCTTACGAAAGAACAGAGCTTTGTCTTTGCTTTCTAGCAAAGCTCTGTGTAATGGGATCAGATAAACATTCCCAAAAGATTGCAGTGGCTGTGATGTGAAGAATAGATTGTAGGGCATCAAAACCCAAGACAGAAAATCAGGGAGGCTGTTGCAGGAGTCTAGAGGAAAGGTGGGAACCTGAACTTGAACATGAACAGCAGGAATGGAGAGGTATTTAGAAGTTGGTATAGGACTCAGTGATTAAGCAGATGTGGGGGAAGAGGAGTCAAAAATGATTCCCCAACTTCCAGATTAAGAAATCAGGTCGAAAATTTTCCACTGTGTTTGCTAAGAGGATTGGATATATGCCTGCAGTTGCTGGCAGGCATTTGACCATCATTTAGGAAGAGACTGCCTGAGAATGGAGCCCACACGGAGGAAAACAAAGCTAAGAGGCAGAGAGTGAGGCTGTTTCTGACATCCTCGTTTCACGTCTTGGGACCAGCTATCCCAGATCTACCCCCTGGACTTTTCAGGCACAAGAAGCATGTGTTTCCTCTGTTGTGGTTTTTGGCGGTGGTGTGTTGGTGGGTTGGTTGTTTAGTTCAATAAGAGTTGGGGTTCTGTTGCTTGGAATCAAGTTATGGGAAGAGTGGGGACAGTGAGAGCGGAGCCCAGGGTAGAACCAGCACCGAAGAAGTGATACTGAGGAAGATGAGCCCAAGGAGAAAGCAAGAGGAGGAACCCAGGAAAGCACAGTGCCAACAGAGGAGAATTTTCAAAAGAAGAAAATGCGGTCGGGAAAGTCAAATGCTACTCGAGAGTAGCTACTGCTACTTAGTAAGACAATTACTAAGATGTATGTGTTGGTCTTAGCAGTAAGGCATTAAGTTGACGGCCTTTGTGAGGGAGGTTTCAGTGGAGGGATGGGAGTAGAAATCAGACTGAAGAAGGTTGAAGGGTTGAGGTGAGGAAGAATAGAAACAATTCTAAATATAGAAGTTGTGTTGTGAAGGGAGGGTTGCCAGAGGGAGATGTTTTCAGATGAAGGAGATGGAAGAATTTGTAAAGGCGAATGAGAAGGATGCAGGAGATGGATATCGGAGAGAAGTCCCTGAGAAAGGAGGAGGTCAAGGCATGGATTTGAAGGCTGGTCCTCATTCAAAGGGAGGCTACCTCTTCGGCTGGAATGGGGCAGAGAGAAGGATGCATGCAGAACTAATGCTAGGTTAGCAAAGCTGAAGGAACTTGAAGGTAAGGAAGTGTAAGTCTGACAGTCTCTGTCTTTTCCATAAAGTAGCAGTCAGGTTACTTGCTGAGAGCGAGGAGAAACCAGAGGTGGGAGTTTTGGGGAGAATGGAGGCCGTTTGAAAAATTGCTGTGGAAAATAGGAAAGAGACTAGGAAAAAACCAGAAGAATTGGCTAGAAGCCAGGAGGGCCCACCTGACGGCAGAAACCATTCCACAGTCTTACCAGTGCCTTGGTCAGTCGAAGAAAGAATGGAATCTGAAAGTAAATGTTTGATTAGAGACAACTGATTTCTAAATGGTCTCTTTTATAAAGGAAAACTGTTAGTACCAGGTTACTTTTTATTACTGACCTCAAAGAGGAACTTTTAGGTTTGCTGATATGACACTCACTTTTCTACACAGTAAACGGCCAGCCTGATGCAGATAAACCACTTGGAGATCTCACCAATGGCGTGAGATTGGCCCAAAGTGGCCAATAAGATTCAGCAGGCCAGAATGTGATAATGAATCTGGGTTTAAGAAAAACAAGATAAGACTCACACTGTGCCTGTGAGATAAAGTTTTGATATCGCTGTGGTCACTCAAGGGATCACCGACAATAAATCCTTAAGTGCAGATGTAACCCTTGGGTTGAGCAAATACCAAATACCAAGAGGCTACTACATCAGGTCCTTCACGGTGTCAAGACTCTTGACTGTCATTTGAGAATGATAAGAGTTCCTGTGAGACATTTGCACTCAAAAGATCTCATCTACTGGTCACATTAACCATCTATACAGGGTGGGGCAAAACTAGGCTTACAGTTGTCCATGTGAAAAATACAATAATTAATTAATAAATAATAACACAAGAATAAACTATGTTTCATGTGCTCATCTGTAACCTTACTTTTGCCCAACCCTGTATTTTCAAGTTCTATCCTTATATTTAGTTTCATCATCAACAGTTTTTGGACCATGTTGTCTCAGCCCTTCCTAAATGTCTTCTCTGAATTGCAATGGAGCCTTGTGAAATCTACAGAAAAGTATGATGCAAACACTCTGAAGAGCATTGTCTTTTAAAGTAGAGGGCATCTCCTATTGAATTATTCAATATTCTCCATAAGAGAAAAACAAAAACAAAACTCCAGGCAGGATCATTGCCATCCTAGGCCTTCTTTGCCTGGCTTTTCATTTATCTGCCCCATTTCTTACCCATCATTTCCAGGTTCCTGAGCTGGAAAGTTCACTGCTCCTGGCCCTGCAGGGTACCCCGATTCTCCTTCACACATTCAGGTTACCGTGTCCCAGAAGCAAGGGGATGTGCTAAGATTATATCATTCCTAACCCTGAAGGATTCAACAATGGATGCCAATGGAGTGACAGGTGCTGTGATAGCAGGTAGAGGGCCAAGAGGCGGACATAATCATCTCTTCCAGGACAAAGCATCGCAGCAGTCTTGAAAAATGAGAATTTTCGCAGGCAGGGAAGATGTATAAAGCTGGACGCAGAAGGAGCAGCAGAGTAGGAAAAAAACAGGAGATGTGGAACAGGCTTACTTCCAGGGGCCCTGGGTGTGTAGGGAGCAGTCAGAAGATGAGTCTAGACAAGTGGGAAGGGACCAGACCAGACGCCATGTGACTTAAGAACAGCTAAGAAGTTTGGATTTTATCTTGGCCCAGGTGTGAATCAATCATTTTTCCTCTAGCTAGCTGAAATACGATTAGGATATTTGAAAGAGAATTTATGCTAAAGCACAAAGGGAAAAGCAAACAAATACAAAACAAAAAGCAAACATACAAAGGCATAACAGTGAACAGCTCACAAGCCTCAGCCTAGATGAAAATGACACTGTTGTTCATGGTGCCTGGAAATCGCTCATGTGGCTGCACAGAGACCCAGGTTATGCTTTCTTCACAGTGATTTTATTGCAGTGGTGACAGCGAGATCCATAACAAGGAAGGAAGGAAGGAAGGAAGGAAGGAAGGAAGGAAGGAAGGAAGGAAGGAAGGAAGGAGGGAGGGAGGGAGGGAAGGAAGGAGGGAAGGAAGGAAGGAAGGAAGGAAGGAAGGAAGGAAGGAAGGAAGGAAGGAGAGAAGGAGGGAGGGAGGGAGGGAGGGAGGGAGGGAGGGAAGGAGGGAAGGAGGAAAGGAAGGAGGGAAAGAGGGAGGGGGGAGGGGAGGAGGAAGGGAGGGAAACAGCTCACAGATCCCAGATTTCTTTGTCTGCTTCTTCACTTGGTTTTAGCCCCAGACTGGCTGAGCTTGGAGAACTTGCAAATAGATGGCCCAGCCCAAGTCTTTTTTCTCTCCTCAACTTGTCCGCATTGGCCCTTAGGCAGCCGACCACATCCATGGTCCCAAAACTGAGGCCAATGGGAGTTTTGCTCCTTCTGGATCCCATCTCTTAATATTCACCCCTGGGCAGTCTTGCTTATACCGAAGTTGGCTTAGTCTCTGCTCTGCAGCTGCCCTGACCCCTGGAGGTCTATGCCAGATCAGGGGTCAGCAAACACTTTTGGTAAAGGGTTATGTAGTCAATATCTTAGACTTTGTGGGCCATTTGTATTTCTGTCACAACTACTCAACCCTGCTGTTGTACCATGAAAGCAGCCACAGACAATATGTGAAGAACAGGATATGGCTGTGTTCCAGTAAAGTTTTATTTATGGGCACTAAAATTTCAATTTCATATCATTTTCATATGTCATGAAATATTCTTCTTTCAATTTATTAAAAATATTTTATTTATTTATTTTTAGAAAGAGGGGAAAGTAGGGAGAAAGACAGGGAAAGAAAACATCAATGTGTGGTTGCCTCTCATGCACCCCCTACTAGAGACCTGGCCTGCAACCTATGCACGTGCCCTGATTGGGAATCGAACCGGTGACCCCTTGGTTCTCAGGCCGGCACTCCATCCCCTGAGCCACACCAGCCAGGGCTCAATTTTTTTCAACCACTTAAATATGTAAAAACCATGCTTAGCTCACCAACTGTACAAAAACTGGCAATGGCCAGATGTGGCCTGTGACCTAGAGTTTGCCAACTCCTGTTCTAGCCACTAATTCCCAGGACAAAGATGGTCTCTTTTACCTGAACAATTTATTATCACTGATACTACTAATACTAATAGATATCATGTGCTGAGCACCTACTAATTACCAGGTGGTATGTACCACAGAGAACTGCTTTGAAGACTAAATGAAATAAGGCACGTAAAGCACTTAACATGATGCCTCATCTGAGTTAAGCATCAATAACTGTTGGCTACTATTATTTTTTATTATTGTTTATATACCTTATCTCTGATCAGTAAAATGATTCATACCAGGTAGATATAAATATCCCATTGAGGATCAGAAAAATTATGTCATTTGTGAAATCGCCTATCTGTTAAGTAACAGAGCTAGGAGCTAAACCAGACTTGTCTGACTTCAAAGTCCATGGCCTTCCCACTGCATTACAACCTCCTCTTTATCTGAAGTGTAGTCACTGACTGGGGTTGACTGCTGGTCTACCCACCAGCAGCAGTCATTTATGTCCCTAGGGCCTGCCATTTGTGTCAAGAGTAGCACAGGGCTTATTCTACTCTTGCTTCAAAGCTTAAAGGCCTGTTGGACCACTTAGCTCTGGTTTCCTGCCAAGGGATCTTCCGCCCCATGAGAACAGTAAAGATGGCGGAACTCAATAAACAGCGAGACCTCTTCCCACTCAGATATCCAATTCTGCCCACTTCTCTAGGTTCTCCTGATGACTCAACCTTAGGTAACTTCCTGAAAGTGACACTCCCGGAATCCTACCGTTGCAGCATTCTAACAGAAAAATACTTTACACATTCATGATAATTCCAGGTAGTTGCCACCAAAGGTAAGAAGAGTGTCATTGCATAAAAACCATTCATCTGCATGACATTTTCAGAACTGTCCATAAAATGTTATTGAAGAAATTGTATATAGCTTCAAAATTACATTCAAGGGAGCCCATATGATAAATTCTTCCTTTGATTTAGTTCCAGAAGAAAAAAAATGTCTTCCCTATAAATGAATCTGTATATTTTATCTTGCCAGAATAAGAAAATGATGTAACCCAACCTGTTTCCTTTTTCTATCATAGCTTCCAAGAAATTTAAAGCCAAATTCCATGCTAAAATGTCTCATCTTGGGTACCTGGTAGGATCTATTTCATCTTCACTGCTATGACCACTTTTGTTTTACAATTTTAAAAATTGCCAGCAGTGTGTGCCTCCTATACGCCAGGCACTGTGCCTTTCCTGCTGTGTCCCTCCTTCTTAAGTGGTTTCAAATATGGTGCCTGTTTATTAAACTACCCTAATGCCTTATTTTGCACATTGTTTTACCCTGTATTCTATACTTCAGGTCTCCTGGAAGCAGACAGGACTCCATATTTAATTTTTTTTTAAAGGGGTTCTAGTCACATTTATGCATATAGTTGTAAAGTGCTAATCTGGCTTTATTCTTATAGGCTACAAGATGGGGATGTTATTCCACAAAAATCAGGGTTTTTCCAGATTGTACTGTCTTGTGTATCTCTTCCTCTTTCCTTGCACCTCTGCTTGTCTCCATGTACCACTCTGATCCTCCGTTCAGACGTTAAGAACTCCAGGCAGTCCCCACGCTGGGCTTGTGCCAAGGGCGATTTCCATGAGCAGAAGGGACTCCAACCCTTCTGCATCTGTAGCCCTAGACACCTGTCCTACTGAGAACCCCGTTAACTCTGGGTGACTTCCTTGTTGGAATCACAACTCTCTTTGACATCTCATACCCTTCTACTGCACCTCCTATCACTTCCTCTTCAGCTCTCCCTGTTCCCCTCACGTCTTTCCAGGAATCTGTGAAGGTTCATATAACTAGGGATTTATGTCCAACAGTGACTGGCAGAGCAACTAGAGTAACGCTGGCAGACAGTTGTTACTAGATAGAAAAATTGGAAACTAGAGAGGATTTTTGGCACAACGCAGTCCCTTGAATATTTGAGAATGTCTGAATAAACAAACAAATTCTAACTCATCACCACTTTCCCACCTAAACACAGACACCAAAAGCTAAGCACCTAAATGTCTTCTGTAATTGTAAACCTAAGAATTTGCTGCAGCAAGTCTGATAAAGATGGAAAACTTGGCTTCTCTTTCTGCTTAAATAAGAAATTCAGAGCACACCTCTGTCCCTCAGCCCCAAGTGGGCCCTTGTCTGTATCAGGTATGACTATCTGGCAGAAGCCAGGTTTTTGCTCTGCACTCTCCCCTTGCCTGAGCTTGCTCAGCGACTCTGGGAAAACCACTTGATACCGCTGGGCCTCACTGCTTTCAACTGTAAAAAATGAAGATTGCACTAAATGATATCTCAGGTACGTTCCAGTCTTACACTTCTGTGACCTGTCTCTAGAAATCTAGCTAGCATTCTTGTCTTGGGCTGGGCTTTACGAGATGTCTGTTTTACTTTTGGAAGTGCGTTGCCTAGTCTTCCTTATCACTAATCTATCACATGTGCCTGTACTTTGGTCATCTGTTCATAATGTGATGCTCAATGTGACTTTTTTCCTTTGGTGGTAAAACACACAGAACATAAAGTTTACCACTTTAACCATTTAAAACGTGTACTTCAGAAGTATCAAGTACATAAACATTGCTGAACAAAAATCACCACCATCCATCTCCACAACTTTTTTCATCCTTCCAACTGAAACTCTCTACCCATTAAACAGCAACCTCCTGCCCTGGCTGCTGTGGTCTAGTGGGTTGAGTGCCAGTCTGTGACCCAAAGGGTCACTGGTTCAATTCCCAGTCAGGGCACATGACTGGGTTCCGGGCCAGGTCCCCAGTAGCGGGGCGCATTAGAAGCAACCACACAATGATGTTGCTTCTCCCTCCCTTCCTCTCTAAAAATAAATAAATAAATAACCTTCAAACAGCAACCTCCCATTCCACCTCCTCCTGGGCCCTGGCAACCACCATTTTTTTTTCCTTTCTATGAATTTGACTACTATCAGTGGAATTATACAGTTTGTCCTTTTGTGACAGACTGATTTCACTTAGCGTGATGTCCTCAAAGTTCATCTATGTTGTAGCATGCGTCACGATTTCCTTACTTTTTAAGGCTGAATATTCCATTGCATGCATAGACCGCATTTTGTTTATTCATTCCTCCATCACTGGACACTTTAGCTGTGTCCACCTTTTGGGTATTATGAATAGTGCTGCCATGAACACAGGGGTGCTAAGATGTTTGAGACCCTGCATTTACTTCTTCTGGGTATACACCTAGAAGTGGAATTGCTTGATCACATGGCACATGATACTTCTATGTTTACTATTTTGAGGAACTGTCACACTGTTCTGTTCAATGGGACACCTGCAGAGACCGAAGAGCTTAAGAAGCTGGGCACTGCGGTCTTATGGCCATGCTGAGTCCTGAGAGGTGTTTCCCGGTTATAGGTCTGCCTGGAAGGGTTGTCGTGTCCCATTATCTAGAGAAGCAGGACCCACATGCTATTTAAACAGAGCCTGGCATCAGACACTGGACCTGGGACTGCTCCCTATCCTGCCTCAGAATCAACTTCTGTAAAGTGGGCTAATAGTACCTAAGTTACAGGGGTTTTATAAAAGACAGCGATGGTGTACACAAAGCACTGAGGTAAGCACTTAAAAAATCAAGATATGAACTTTACCCTACTGACCGCAAAGGACAATTATGAAAACCAAATGAAATAATGTATGAGAAAGCAGAATCTCGTAATGCATTCTATAAATGGTAGGTCCTTATCATTTTCTTTCCTCCTCACTGCTACAGCCTCTCGACAGTCCTTCCTGCCTCCTGGCCTCATAGCTCCTTCAGGCATTCAGGCTTCAGAGTGACCATCCACAGCAGTTCTGATCCTGTCATTCTCCTGCTCAAGTTTTCAGTCTCTCCCCTTGCCCGTGCACGGCCCTCTGCAATCTGACCCC